CTTTTGCAGCACAGGGAGAAGACAATCAATCCATCTCTTCAGCCCCTACAAATCATTCTCTTTAGAAACTCCTTTCTCCTTAGTGGTGTCTGAGGCCAGTACCATACATTGTAGTCACAAGGAAGGAATAAGCCCTGTGCCACTCAAAATGAAAGGTGGGTGCCAGTGGCTCATGTCTGTAATCCAAGCTACTTAGGAGGCTGAGGTCTGAGAATTGTGTCTCAAAGTCAGCCCTGGCAGGAAAGCTTGTGAGACTCTTATCTCCAATTAACCACCAGACAACCAGAAGTGGCGCTGTGGCTCAAGTGGTAAAGCAGAAATGCTGAGGGACAGCGCCCAGGCCCAGAGTTCAAACCCGAGACCGAACAAAAAAAAAGAAAAAAAGCAATCTCCTTGAGTATTAGTTACTTTCCCGTAGCTGTGACCAAAAGACCTTGGAGAATGATTCAAGGGAGGAATTCTTTCTTCTGGCTTGTGGTTTCAGAGATTTTAGGCCATGGTTGACTGGCTTCATTACTTTGTACCTAAGGTGAGACTGAACACTATGGAGTGGGTAGAGGAGCTGTTCACCTCATGGTGGTCAAGAAGCGGGGTGGGGTGGGGGGCGGGGGAGAAAAGGATGGGGGGAGAAATGGAGGAGGAGGAATCAGGTATAACCTTTTTTTTAAAATTGTGAAAATACTGTACAGAGGGGTTACAATTACATGGGCAAGGTAATGAGTACATTTCCTATCAAGCATTGTTGCCTCCTCCTTTGTTTCCCCTTTCCATCCCTTCCCATCTCCCACCCCCCACTCCCCCCCACCCCCAACCTTTAAAAGTGCACGTTGCTTCTACTACCAAATGACCTTTTCCAACTAGGCCCTATCTAGTAAGTTTCCACTGCCTTCCAAATTAGCACCACAGCTGGAGATGGACTGTTCAACACATGATGTGGGGGAATATTTCATATTCAAGCTGCAACATCTTGCAAACAAAACTGAGTTTTTTTTCCTCCCCGCTCCCCAGTGCTGCAGATGGAACACAGGGTTTTCTGAATGTCAAGCAAGTGGTCTACCACTGAGCTACACTGCAATCCCAATCTTTTTGTATATCACTGTGGAATTCTCTCTGACATTCAGATTCAGATCGCAGGCCCAAAACAGAAGGGAAGAAAGCACATGCTTTCCTCATCCTCCCTGCCATTCCCTCCTAAGCCAGGAATGAGGTCCTGGGACTGTGTTCTGGGTCTCAGAGCCAGACTTAGACTTGCTCTGCCTCCTGTACTATCCTTGTCCCCCACTGTTTCATCCCTAAAACAAGGAGCAGTTCCCTAGGCCAGCTTCAAAGGCTGGCCCTGCAGAGAAAGAGGAGAAAGTAATCAAAGAAAGAGGAGACTTTGCTGGCTCTGGAGAGATAACATTGTGAGAGGAGCTTTGGGAAGCATGAATAGTGCTTACTCAGGCTCAAAACTGATCCAGCTGGTGAGTGCAGTCAGCACTCTGCATATTCACAGATCAATTAAAGTGGTTTTGGACAGGCTTAGGCCTTTGGGGATCAGAGTTCTATGTGCACAGTCGCTTGAGAAGCTGGCTAGGGCTGCAACCAGGGCTGTACCACAGAGAGAGAGAGTGCTGGTCTAGCCAGAAGAGGAAGTTCTGGGTGAGCTAGGATGCTCTGCTGCTCCAGAGCCAGGCAAAGCCTCTGTTGTGACTTCAATGATAGTCTAGAGATAGCCCAGGCATTTGTTGCTGAAAGGACTTGGGAAATGGACCATCTCTGGCTGCTAAGGAAGAGGTTCCTCCAGTGTGGAGCTATGCATCAAGAGATGAGCAGAAGTTAGCTTTGCCACACAGAGCAGCACACAGCTTTCCTCCAAGAGCCCAGAGCCCAGAAAAAAATCAGGGTGGGGTCAATGGAAACCAGACCATGGACTGTGGAACAAATTAGCAGCCTCTCAGAAAGGGCTTCGTAGTGATGTTTTCATAAACATTCACACTAGAGATCCATGAGCTAGAAATGATAGGCTGTTTCCTCATCTCATCGGGGAGTACAGAAAACAACCCAGTGGCAGGCAGAATACCTGTGTCAGCCCCAGAGTTGCAATCTGAAGAAGAAAGTCAAATAGAAACAACTTCAGGTTTACACAGGGAGAGATTTTAATCGGAAAGAGTCTCGTAAAGGGTAAGCCTACTCAAAATACATTGGACACATCTGTGAAATTTCTCTCATGAAATTGTAAGAAGTGTGAGGCTAGTGACTGATATGGGCTCAAGGCTTTATTGGGGGACAGACCTGGCAGGCTGCTCCAAGCAGGAATGGAGGTAGTAGCAGTGGGCAGGTGTGGGTGGAATTCAAACAAAATTTTAGGGGGGCTGCCACATGAGTCAATCAACTAGGTCATATTAGGGGGACTGTGGGAACGGGAGGGAGGTGTTCAATGGGCTATAGGATTGAGGGCAGAGTCACACTCTGAGAAGGAGCGTAATGAGAACGTTGCAACTGGGGTGGGAATCTGTACATCGCACGAAGAAAACAGCACACATCAGGAAAATAAAAACAGATTTTTGTTAAACAGGTAGGGACACAGGACAAGGACTTAATCAGCAAGTTAACTCCAAGACCTCAGAGAAATCCCGCCCCCTCCTATTAATAATTTTCTAAAATAGAGAGAGCTAGACACGACCAATAGGGATAATGCTCCCCTTTTAGGAATCTACAAAAAACTCAAAATGAACCAGAAAACGACTTTCTTCTTTATGCAAATAAAGCTAACAGCACGTATGGAGGGGAAAACTAGGCAAAACACAGGAAAATGGCCACTGGTGCCAGACAGGAAAAGGCCTGAATGTGTTACCAATTCTCAGGAGAAGGGGTGATGATGGACAGAGGCACACATACACCTTGTGCATGCTTGGACTTAAGGCCAAGCAGAGTTCAGGGATCAACAGGAAAGAAAGAAACCTGAATAAGATTTGGTCAAACCCAACTGAGGAAAGAATAGATAATGGCTGGTGATTAACACTAGTGAAGGTAATAATAATAATTCATAAAAATATCAAAACCCAAGGTAACCTGGAAGGTTTTATTTTTGGGGGGGGTCCAGTCGTGGGGCCTGAACTCTGGGCCTGGACGCTGTCCCTCAGCATTTCAGCTCAAGGCTAGCACTCTACCACTTGAGCCACAGCACCACTTCCGGCTTTTTTCTTTTTGCTTATGGTGTGCTGAGGAATCAAACCCAGGGCCTCATGCATGCAAGGCAAACACTCTACCAGTGAGGACCTTCCCAGCCCCAACTGGAAGGTTTTATAAACCAAGATTGTTTCTTTTCTTTTTTTGTCGGTCATGGGCTTGAACTCTGGGCCTGGACCCTGTCCCTCAGCTCTTCAGCTCAAAGCTAGTGCTCTACCACCTGAGCCACAACGCCACTTCCAGTTTTCTAAGTGGTTTACTGGAGATAAGAGTCTCATGGCCTTTCCTGACCGGGCTGGCTTTGAATTGCGATCGTTGGTCTCAGCCTCCTGCAGTAGCTAGTCCTGAGTAGCTAGGATTACAGGCGTGAGCCACCATGCCCGGCTAAATCAAGATTTTTCACATCAGCATATCTGCATTATTGATTCTTTGTTGCTGCTGTTGTGGTGTGTGGAGACAGAGTCTTCCTGTGTAGTCCAGAATGGCCTCAGGCTTTCAATCCTCCTACTTTAGCCTCATGAGTGTGGAGATTACAGGCATGTATTACCATGCCCAGCTCACCTTTCTTTTTGTAGAGAGCTGTCCTGGAGTTTGTAAGATGTTTAGTAGCATTTCTTGCTTCTGTTTAATTGTAACTGTAGCACCCATCCACTACTGTGATGGTAAGACAAAAGTCTGTATAGGTAGTTAAATTTCCTTCCTCTGGTTGGGGGACAATTTGCCCCTTGTTGAGAATTGCTGCTCTAAACATGCACAGTTTTTCTAGAAACTCCAAGTGTCCATTATTAGCATAAGGAAGGAAGGGAAGCGGTCTCTTCCAGTCGGTGCTCTGGACACACCCAATTCCTCTTTGTGTAAGCTGTCAATCAGATGCCAACTCCACACACCAGAGTGCTCGAGTTAGCCCCAAACACAGGCACTATTTTAAAGGCTTTTCCAACATGAACTTAATTCTGCGTGTTAAAATTGAGTTCCAGATACCCAACGCGTCTTTGTGCTCCCCAGGCAATACTGTATATGAGAACTACATATGTTGCAAACGTATTTCTTTGTGAGCGTGAAAATCCACGTTGACTGAGATCCCTGGCCCTGTGATCAGGGAGCTGGCTGGTAAGCGGGAGGCCTTTCTGGCTTGGAATCCCTGATCTGCCTACGGTTCGCTGTGCCCCAGTGGATCGAGCCATTTAGCCTCTCTGAGGCTCAGCTTTCTCATCTGAAAGATGGTGACAATGAAGAGCCCCCTCCTCACCGACTTGATGGGAGGATTAAATACGTGCGTTCACGGTGGGCAGAGCTCGCAGGGCGATCAGGACAACAAATCCAAATCCACGGTAACCGCTTTAATGTCCAACCTCTTTGCCCGATCGATCGCCCACTGACTCACCCCCCAGCTGCTCCCTTTAGTCACGGCTGGGTTCGGCCCAGCCTGTCTCCCCAGGCGCCCCAAGGGAGGTGAGCAGTCCGGTTTTGGGGTCTTTGAGCCCCAACTTTTGCACCCTGACGCCTGAAAGTGGCGCCATCCCGGGATCGGTCCGCAGGGGGCAGCACGGTCCCCGCCGCCGCCCCGCTGCGGCCCGGCGTG